CAGAAGGACCTGTTTTGTAAATATGCATCAGACCTGCAAATGCAGAAGGACTCGTTTGTAAATATGCATCAGACCTGTAAATACAGAAGGACCTGTTTTGTAAATATGCATCAAATCTGCAAATTCAGAGATACGAAATCGACCTTTGAAGCTCCCTATTGGTCTGATTATTCAACTATTACGACAAAAATCTCAATATATATATAGGCTACACTTTGCTCTAGAGTTTTCATCCAAACTTTCATTGAGAATCGGGAGAGAAATCGGAGCTCGAAAGTCCCCATCCGAAATCTTCGTTTTTTCGTCGATTAGAGGTAAAATACTCAACTAACATTCATGTTCTTTTATGGTTAGCTTCGTTTTTAGGTCCTTTTTAAAACCTTGGTAGCCTTATGTCTCAGATTTTAGTTTTTGAATGTCGAATTATATTCCAAGTCTGGTTAGTGAAACCAGAGGCTCTGGTCGTGAAGACCAGAAGCTCTGGAAKAGAGACCAGAGGGGCTCTGGTCCTGTGTTGAAATATATTATAAGTCTGGTTGGTTCAACCAGATAGGCTCTGGTCAATACAACCATAGGGGCTCTGGTCAATACAACCAGAGGGGCTCTGGTTCTAAAGGACAGTTTCTCCCTTGAGAAGGGGAAAATTTGGCCTATAGCCATTGGTATTGGTTAAAAGTGTTTTGAACCAGAATGATTGTTTTCATGAGAAATCAGAGAGACTCTGATCTTAGATTTTGAAATATAGGATTCTGGTATTTGATTTGGATGATGAGCAAGTTTTTACTATATATGTTAAATTGGATTAAAGTTTTTGTATCTTTTGATAAGAGCTTCTATGTCAAAATCATGCTTTTGAAGTTTTAAGAAAAGGAGTTTTATACTTAGAATCTTTTTATGAAAAACAGACGAGAGAGGCTCTGCTTGACTTTCACGTTGAACAAGAGGGGCTCTGGTTGGTCATGTCTTTGGAACCAGAAGCTCTGGTTAGTAGAACCAGAAGCTCTGGTTAGTAGAACCAGAGGCTCTGGTCGAACATGAACTTTAATAATTGCTCGTTTTATGAAAAAGGCTATCTTATTGGTTGAAGGTTTATCTAAAGACCGTTTTTGAGAAATTATATGAGTCAGAGGTGCTGGTTAGTACAACCAGAGGCTCTGGTCATGAAGACCAGAAGCTCTGGAAGAGAGACCAGAGGGGCTCTGGT